GACAGCCTAGGTCAGTGCCCCTGCACTCTGGGGTCCTTCACTCCCAGGGATCACCCATTTCCCCTATACCCTCCTTGCCTCAATGACCCACTGCCAGTCGTCATCTAGCCCCTGCTCAGGGGCAAACTACAGTCTGAAATGGCCACTCAGCATTGGCAAGGGGGTGTGGGCCTGCTGCCTTTGCCTAGCCTGGCTGCTTCCCTGCAGGCTTAGTACCCTCAGGCCTTGCTGTGAGGTCAGGCCAGAGATCCCCAGCTCTAGGGTTGCCAGATGGTTTAACTAAAAATACTGACACACATTCCCCCCCCCAAAAAAAAACACTCTGCTGAGGAAAAAAAAAGGGGGAGACCAAAGCCGTTGAGCAAAAAAAAAAAAAAAAAAAAAAAAAAAAACCTAGAGATATTAAAAAAAAAAAAAAAAAAAAAAAAAAAAAAATAAACAGCATTAAAAGAAAAGCCTTTGAGCATTTTTGCTAGTGGCCATCTTGTTTTCCTGATCTGAGCCAGAAGACAGCACCTCTGCAGAACCAGGTAAGTGGGGGGGTCCGGGGGCAGGGCAGTGTGTGTAGGGTTGCCAGGTGTCTGATATTTTTGTCTCCTGGCAGGGAAAAAAAAATCAGAAAATACCAGACATTTTAGGTGTCCGGTATTTTCTGAAACTTTTTACAAGACAGGAGGCAAAAATACTGGACTGTCCAGGTCAATACCAGACACCTGGAAACCCTACCCAGCTCTGCCCTGTCTTAGGAAGCCTCCAACCTCCCTGGCAACCAGATCCCTCCTGCTCCCTAGCTACAGCAAGAATGAGTCTTTCTCTGCCCTCCAGGAGCCCTTATTTATACAGCCCCAGCTGGGCCCTAATTGTCTATCTGCCTCAGCTGCAGACTCCACTCTCTCAGCCTTCTCCCAGGGCTGGGTTTCAACCCTTAAAGGGCCAGTGCAGGGCAGATGCCCCATCACACCCTGTCTTAAGTGCCCACAATAAGACCAGGAGACAAGCACCCCAGAGTCTGGGTCCCAGCTTTGTTTGAAATTGTGAGGCTGCTGCCACAAGCAGGCATGGAAAAGAAGTCCCCAAGCCAAGGAGCATC